AAAAAAAAAAAGAATGATCATAATAAGGAACTGGTTAACTGTATTATCGATATTGCTGATAACTTAGCAAACCCTTTTAGAAAACAGTTAAGGAAATGCCAACAGCAGACTACATTAGACAGATTTTTATTTTTAGAGAAAGTCAGCCAGGTTCTAGTGAAAAAAGGCAAAGGGAAAAAACTCCTGAAAAGCAGCTACCAGTTGATTTTATGGAGAGGGATTCCCCTTCCAAACAATGACTCACTCTACATACCTTCTCTCCACATCTCTGTTCACAGATCCAGATCCTCATCAATCTCAAGATATGGACCATACTCTAGTTGTTAAAAACTTTTGTTGTTAAAAATTTTTATGTTGTGCTTCTTATTCACATGTTATTAACTCAACTTATTTACTTTGAACTTTGTGTGTCATGTTTTGTATAAAAAGGCTGGGTTAGGGTAAAAACTTAGTGGTCGAGAACAGATTAATCCATTTTCAGTTATTTCTTATGAGATAAACTGATTCGGAACTCGAATGCATTGCATCTCAACGCTCTTTCTAGAACAGATTACCATCGAGGTCCCGGGTTCGACTGCACAGGCCAAGCACACCAAGTGCTGCAAATGTTTGGTAAACACTTCAAGTGTGGATCTTGGAAGCTTAGCTGAATTATTTTCCGTTCCTTAACACCTTCATTTTTACTCTCCCTTGGCATTTAGTCCAATGATGGAGGAAGGACATGGGAAAGTACTCCAACTGTGACGATGTGCTAGGCGATCGTTATTTACTATAATACAATTAGATTTCTTAAGGTCAGTTTTCTTGGGCTGTTTTTAAGAAAAACAGGTCTTGTTCAGAGGCCTGACTGTGAAAGGAAAGTACAAGAAAAAATAGGAATAGCCTAAGGGTTCTGTGTGACATTAGCAGAGGAAATCATGGCGAAAATCCCAAGAAGAGGTCAATTTCAGGGAGAAAAAAAAAATAGGACTTTTAGTAGCAACCTCCCACTCATCCTTCATATACACATTAATATTTTGCCTCAGTGACGCCATTCTTTTAACAATAAGATGTTTCCCTTGACTTCTTATCAACACAGCAGTAAATGTTAGTTCTACCCATACTAACTTTCAAGTCTATGTGTGCATGAGTTTGTTTTTTTTTAAACAGAATAAGGCATATTAAATAGAGAACAAACTGATTCATTACCAGTAAACCTTGTAGTCAACTACCTAAAAACAGTTTGCCCCTTAAAATATGCCAGGGCCCCATCGTTTTCAATACCTGTGTATAAAGTTCTAAAAGGTTTGCTGGGTTTGAACATTCTTTGTCTTCTGCACAAAGGAGTTTCAATTTTTCTAGAGCTGCAGAGGCCCGAATTAAAAAATGATCTATAAGGGATAAAAACATAACAGTTATTTCAGATTGCTCCAGGGTGTTATTTAAACAGCAACAATAACATCAGCAATATATGTATCTTTATTTTCCTTAATTGATGTAAATAAGACTATGGCCAACAGAGAAACAACATGGTCAAAGGAATTATGAAGGTCTGTAAAAAAGTATTGCTACTAGATTTCTAATTTATACTTGAATGGGTTTATTCCAAACCAAGCATGTGTTTAAAACGTACATCTGTGATAAGTAGATGGCTGTAGACAACTTCTCTCAGTAATATACACGTCTCAGTCTCATTGAGATGCCTTAAAAAAAAGATCTAATCAAAATAGTGGCTTCTAATGGGATGTATTCAAAGCAGATCTCTAGATCAGCTCAGAAAGTTATGCTAACTATTTTTGGAATCCAAAGGGGCAATTGTGGTATTCTAAAAAACAGGACAATCATGGGGACATATTCAAGTTTTAAGACACTGGCAAGTCAGAGACTTAAATACGTGTAACAGAAAGTGGTTGTTATAAAACATCAAAGGGGAAAGAAAAACCCTCTCAAGACATGCTTTTATACCGTGATTGTACAATAAAGGACTGAAGTTGTCAAAGATTCATCTTGGTTGGATCCACAATCAATGCTCTTGGAAGCAGGAGTCAAAGGCACCTAACAAAATACCCATTTATAAACTATCAAGGGCTCATG